CACGAGCAAAGCAATCGAGCACCAAGAAAGCATCGAAACTGGAGGATTTTCACGTGTCGGGCCCTGGGAGGCGATACTCGGTCGACACTATTTCGATTCTTCTCTGGGTGCTCGAAATTGTTTCTGGGATGATGGGGACAACATGAGCCTTGCTAAGGAACAATTTTCCATCCTGAACCTTTGGTTGCCGTCCTTGGGACCTTGGGAACTTTCGGATGCAACTCCTGGGAGGTCAAATTCTGATTTTTCCCTGGCCCGCAATTCGGCTTGATCCGGCTTTGTCCGGCTTAATCCCGCTAAATCCCCCTTTATCTGGCTTGATCCCGCTCAATCCAGGGCCAACTCCGGCGTAACAGCACCCGAATGGGGCTGAATCCTCCTTGCGACGAAGACCTGCAAGTAGTTGCCTCCCAAGGAAACGGCAATTCATGCCGGTCATCTTTTTTGACGACGCGGGAGGAGGCCAGGGTTGAGCATTGGCCGTTGGGCCTACGCAGGCTTGGATGGTGCTCCATTCGGCGCGGCCGCGTGTGTCGCCCCGCGCCTGTGCACGGCGGTCCCCGCCCAGGTGCTCAGCGACCAGCTCGATGAGCTCGAGGCGGACTTGGAAGTGCTAGGACGAGACGGGGCTCGGCCGCGGGCTCGTTTGGATTCCTCCGATTCGATTCGATTCGACTTCGATGGCTTCCGATTCCGATTCGATTCGACTTGGGATTCCGATTTGGACTCCGATTTCGTATTGGAGGCGTCCTCGCGTGCCGATTTCCGCCGATTCGACTTCTCCCGACTCGGCTGCCGATTTCTGGGCTCTGCTGGAGACGGAGCTTGGCCGCGCGCTGCCTTTGGATCGAAGTTTCCGTCGTCGGTCGACGCTCGATTCATACAACTGCGGCTGCCCCCCACTCTGGGCGCCTGGGGGAGCAGGCCAGGGATGACACACGTGACCCCCCGGGGGCCACGAAGTGATCCATGCCCTCGCTGGGGCTCCTCGTGGGGTCGGAGCGGGAGCAGGGGCATGGATAGGACGTCGATCGCCTGTCCCGGGCCTCCCGAGTGTGGCCAGCAGGTGAGGGTTGGCGCACCGCGCAGATCGCCGACGAGTCGAGGCCGATCTCCTTCCTCCGAAGCTCGCCGACGCACCGTCGCCCCTCTCCGGAGGTCCGCGCGGAGCTCCCTGGTCGGCGCTGGACCCGCCCGGCGTCGGCTCGGGTGGACCTCGTCTGCACACGCCCACTTACGCACTGCGTACTCCAGATTTCGTAAGAAAGGGAGGGGGGTCTCATTTCGGGGGGGGGTCTCTTCCAGGCTATCTTGGAGGGCCTGGGGGGTCTGGGGACGATGTTTTGGAGGGTTCTCCCACGGGGGAGGTCTGAAATGGCTTGTCTTGGAGGGTCCAGACCCCCTCCCTTTTATTACGAAATCTGGAGTACCCCGAGCGGCGCTCGGGAGTCCTCCCGGGATCACCTGTGCTCGGCGCGCCAAGAGGGACTTTTTGATGCGCCCCGCGAACGCCCAGAGGCGCTCACGGCCGCTCCGGGGTGGCCTTGCGAGGCGGTTCGCTGCGGCTTCCTTTCGGCGTACACCCCTCGGGCATTTCGCGACCCATGGGCCCCCAGGGGCCCTGAGCTGGGTCCCTGAGACGGCGCATGGCGTCGACGCTGTACCCTTACGTCGGGCACGTCCCTCTACAGGAGGAGTATTCAGAAATAGTAGAAATAGTATGGGGACGATGTTGCTAGTGTTTTAGGGTAATTTGTGATTTTTGGTTTGAGCATTTGTTCTGCAAAATCCGCCTGTAGGAGGACACGCCCGACCTGATGCTAGTGACCGCTACTTGTTGCCGCGCCGTGACTCCCGCGCTCTGCGGGCTCAACGCTGAGGATTTTGAGCCGCCCTGCTCCCGCTATGCGCTCCCGCAGGGGGGGGCCGTCGAGTGGGAGCCACGCAGAGAGAGGGAGTCACGGCGGGCCCCAGGGTGGAAACCACAGCACGCAAAGTTGTTGTGATTCAGTGATGGGGCAGTTTGTCAGGCGATCGCAAACACGGATCAAGGGGGCCTGGATTAGCGGCGGGTCCCGTTTTCATGGGAAGTCGCAGATATTTCCGTCGCCGAACGAGGCGGCACCTGGCCGCATTGTGGGGAGGGCACCTCCCCCGATCCATGGATTTGGCGACCGCGCGCAAAATCCACGGAGCAGCAATCCATGTTTGCGCGCCCCCGAGTTTGAGGGGATGTTTGTGGTTTCCTTGGCGTTCTCGGGTCTCTCCTGGGCCTCGGAAGATATTTGGGAGCGTCCTGGAAGGGTCTTTTGGGCCGATGTGAAGCCATACCTAGGCCAGCTTGGCGACCAGCTGCCGTCTTGGGCCATATTGGTCTCCTCGGCATCTTGGATCCTCTCAGGGGACATGCTGTGGCAATATTTAGGGCATATTGGGAATCCCTGGGGTCATCCCATGGCCAACTCCCTGAAGGTTGGCATCGGCGTTGGCGTTGATTTAGCAGTGGACGAACATCTTTCTCTAATCGGGCCTAAGCCAGAGACGTCCCACTTACTCTGGCTCAGTCCTGGGCCTCATTCATCCGAGTTGATGTTGTCCAAGATTCCTTCGGTAAGGCTAAGTTGTGTTCAAACATCGATCGTGACTGTCGTCCTCCTCTTGGAAAGCCGAGGGGAGTACAATTGGCACGAAAGATACTCAACAGTACACTTGTAAGTATTCATGCTATCTTGAAATGTAAGTTGTATATCGTGTCCTGCGCGGGGTTGCGCTGCATTCAGAGAGTTGCTGGGTATTGTTGCGTCCAGTATAATTTTGATATTCTCTGCGCTACTACACGCGCCGTGCTGGACAGCCAGCGCTTTCCCCGGCAGGTCGTCGGGGGACAACCAACAGCTCAATTGCATCCCAGAGGTTGCAGTACAGTGCAAGTCTCAGATCTTGCAGTACAATATCAGGAATGGGTATAGGTATAGCCTAGCCTCGAAACGCGCACAACAACACAGCTCGATCTAAGCTTTTTTTTTAAATATATCTATATATATATATTCACCCGATTCTGCTGAGCAAGAGCGTCACATCTTTCACAAGGGAGGACACGCGTTCGAACATACCATCAGACTTCTTCGTTTTTTTGTTCACGGGGTAACTGATTTGCCTTTGTGTTGTGCGTCTTGCATGTCTCGATGCTTTTCTGCAGTTGGCGCTGATTTGGCACCCGGAGCGCAGTAGGTGGGGGCGATCGGCGGCATGATCAGCAGTTCATTGTTTCTCTTTGCCGAGGCGAAACGGGTACAGGTAAACATGGGTCTTTCATATCTAGTTGTTGATAGGGTCTTCCATATCTAGTGTTTGATAGGTACTTGTCTGTTCTTCGTGTTGAGATGCTCTTAGTTTTGGGTATCTCCGCAGGGTGACTTGTGTTTTGGCCTCGAAGGAGGACACACACTCATCCTTCATGCCACGTGTGCGGCGTGAATCACGCAGCTCCGACGCGTGGTGGTTGTCATCAGTTGCCAACCCGTCATTGCATGTGTTGTTGCCAAGACATTGTTGTGAAACCTTCATGTTTAGGGGTTCTGAGATGTTTTGGGGGTCGGTGTTGCTCCCTCCCTCCCCGTGTCGCCTCCGCAGCCGCCCCTGGCGCGCTCCGCGCCCCAGGGGGTGGTCCAGGGCCGACGCGAGAAGCACGCGAGGACCTCCGAAAGGTCCTGTTCGCGCAGCTGTGGCCTCCGCCGAGCCGCTCTTCTGGTCCTCGTGGCCACGCTTCGGCAGGCTGCGAGCGCCGGCCCTGCCCCTCCGCCCGGGGCGCGCGGCGGGCGAGCGCGGCGCGCGCGCGCCCTGCCCACCCACCCCCGCCCAGGAAACAAGAAATCGCTCAGCGCCTCGGACAAGTCGGAGCAGGCCAGACTGAAGACGTGCCAGGACCGGCGTGGAGGGCGTGGACGGCGTCGTCGTGGTCGTCGTGGACGGCGTCGACGTGGTCGTCGTCGTCGCGGACGGCGTCGTCGTCGGAGTCGTCACCGTGGACGGCGGCGTCGTGGTCGCCGTCGCCCCCCATCTCGGGGCGGCCCGCAGGGCCCGCGAGGTCGTCGCCCCGCCCCGCCGAGGGCCAGGCCGAGCCTGGCGAGGAGGCGGCGGCTGGGCGGCCGGTGGCCGTGGGCCTTAAGTCGGGCTTGTCCCTCTGCAGGAGGAGTGTGCAAGAAAAGCTTGGCATCGCTCGGACGTGTGCACTCTTTCCTCGGCGAGAACCATCGAGGACCATCCTGGACCATCGAGCAACAAAAAGCACGCGCGAAATCGACAAATGCACGGGAAATGGACGTCCGAGCGACGGCAAGATAGTCAACACATAGTCTGGGGACGTGTATGTTTTATTCTGTTTTAGCTACTTGTCGCCATTCCTCCAAAGATCGCCTTCGGGGGGACATGCCCGAGCTGATGGTGGCCCTCCCCTCCCCGCGATCGGCTGCGCGTAGCAGTGGCCCCTCGCCTGGGAGACCTCTGCCATGGCGCCGACATATCGCAGAGCGGGCTTCGCTCGGGAAGCACTGGGACGGGGCTGGACTGGCCCGGAGAGTGTCGTTCCAGATTTTCAAGACCATCCTGGGCGGATTTTCTTGGGGGGGCCGGAAGGAAGACTCCAACAGAAATCCGCGTGAAGTCCACTCCGTTTTTCGCTTGCCGTTTCGGGGCTCTGCGTTGATCGGCGGTGGACAAACCTCCCTTCAGTAAACCTCCCCTTAGTGAAAACGCCCTGGGACCGACACCGACGCACCTGGACCCGCAAAAATGGCGGCCGCGACGCCCTCTCGCGAACCGAAAACGCCCAATTCCTTAATATTGGACGTGTCAGGGTCGGACTTTGTGGGCCCCGGAAACGGCAGGGCCGTTCTTTCACCGTTTCCAAAAAATGTCCCTTGAGAGTGGAAACGGCCAAAAAAGGCGACCGGAAACGGCAACAAAAACGGCTCCAGGATTGGAGCCGGAGCCGGAACCGGTCAAAAAACGGAACCGGTAAAGAAACGGCGTCGGAACCGGCAACAAAAACGGCAAAACGGAACCGGTACAAAAAACAGCCCTGTCGTTTCCAGGGCCCACTAAGGGGTAGGAGGTCTGTCCACCCCCGAGTTTCCGCAACAGGTGCCGCAACGCCGAGGCGCACTGGATATGGATAAAATCAAGCCTCTTGGGGCCAGATTTGTATCAATATCCAGTGCGTCTACGTCTTCTGGGGAGGAGAGCCCAAGAATCCAAGACGCACTGGATGTGGATATAACTATTGCCCGCACTGCCCTCCCCCGAGGTGACAGCAGCCCACGCGAGAGTCCGCCGCACTACGCCTGCAGGGCCGATGCGGGGGCCTCTGGTTCAGCGGCCTGCGGGGGGCGCGGGGGGCCAACAAGCCGAGGCGCGCAGGCGGGCGCCGCCGCCGCCGCCGCCGCCGCGTGCGGCGGCCGGCAGGTCGCGCACCGGAGGGGCCGCTCGCCTGCCTCGGGGTCGCTCCTTTTGCGTGCAGCGGGCCAGCGGCAGGGCGCGAGGCCCGAGCATACATCAGAGCGTGAATTACCTCCCCCGCTTTCGCTTCCAGGCAGAACCAAGTCATACCACGCGCTCCTTTCGTCAAGCGGCCTGACCAGCGCAGGCCGTAGTTCGGCATCGTTTGGTATCTCTTGGAAGCGAGGATGGTCAAAAGCGAGGTAGGTTTGTTTTCCCCCTAATACAGTCGGGGCCCTGAAGAAGGAACCCTTTTCGTTGGGGAGGGGCTCGGTGTTCCTGGATTGTTCTGCGGCTTTCCTTTTGTTTTCCTGAGGTTTTCCAGGGGAAATCGAAATTCAACGTATGAGAGAAAGGGGCCCCGTTCCTTATTTAGGGTTCCTTAGGTCAACGCCCCGACTGTAACCTGATGGTCCTGTTTTCCACCACCACCACCACCATAAGATGGGCGGGGTCAGCCCTCGCCAATCCCCCGAGGCCGTTCTGGACCTAGGACGGGCATGTCCTTAGGCGACACGTGAAAATAGTCAAACAGATGTTCAAGCACAGCCAAGAGTAATGAAAAGATCCTCCCCGGACTATGAAAACAATGAAGCGAATGACGCATGACATGAATAATGAAATAATGAAGACTATTTTTTGAATATTCCTCCTGCACGGGGACGTGCCCGACTTGATTTTGGAGGGCTCCAGCAGCTGCGCCTCGCCAGAGGCGCTCCAGGGGTGCCCAGATCGCGAACGGCCGCCAGAGGCGCGAGCGGTGGCCCGGCAGTGAGACGGCGAGGCTCTCCGGGGGTGTCCCGCGGCTCGGTCGGTCCAGCTTTAAGTCGGGCATGGCCTCCTACAAGAAAGTCATTCAAAACTAGTCCAGGAATAGTTAGGGCACGATTTTTCGTCCATGTCTGACCATGCTTGAGCATTCTTTGGGAGGAGGACATGCCCGACCTGAGCACCTCGGGACGGCGCTTCTCCGCCGTCCTCCTCGAAAGCTCGGGGGGCACTCGCCGGGCATGGGGGTGTCAACAAAAAGGACTCGCGGCGGCAAGCTGGCTTCTGCTGGGAAGGGGCGAGGTCCGCCGTGGGCCCGCGTTGCGACCGAAAGTGCGCCGTCGGAGGAGTCCAACCCGGGGCTGTCCAAAAACTAATTGGCACTCAGCGAGACCGCCGTGTGCAGGGCCGGGGATCCGAGATCCTCAGGGCCTCGCTTATCAATCCTCCTTCCTGCCTTTCTTTTTTTCGGTGGCATTTTTCGGGCGTGTGTACTGCTTCCTCGGCGAGGACCATCGAGGAGCATCTTGGATGATTTTGGAAAGATAAGCGCGCCGCGTCGAAACATATACCGGACGGTGACGTCCGAGCGATGGCCCCGAACTTGATTCTCCCGTCGAGTCCACGATAATCATATGCAGAGCGCTCCGTAGATCTATGGAGCATGTTGCGCGCTCTCTGTGGATGCGACAGGACATGCCAGGGCTGCACCTAAGCGCTGTTTTGCTGGACTTCGTGTTTTTTTTCCGTTGTGGCAGGGAGGTGCAGGAAAGCAGATGGAGCAAAACGAACAAAATAACAAAACAAGCACGAGAAACAGCGTTTAGGTCCAGCCCTGGGAAATACATTTTTGTTGATAGATCGATCCTGCAATTAGTCGATCCTCTGCTCGCCTCTCCCTCCCTCCCCTTCCTTTTCCTCCTCCCCCCCCTGGCGGTCCCCAGAGGGCCAGAGGGCACCAAGGTTAAGTTGGGCGTGGTCCTCCACAGGAGGAGTAGTCAAGAATCGCCGAGCAATAATCAGGGAACGATCTCCTTGTTAGTTTTGGACTATGTCTTAACGTTTTTCGGCTAGTTTCCCATTACATCCGCCTGTAGGAGGACATGCCCGACCTAACACCAGGGGGGGGAATCCTCGGAGGCCTCCCAGGGCTCCCTGAAGACAAAACATCGAGTTCTGGGGGCGAGGGACCGTTTTCAAGCCTCGCTCGTCGCTGCTCCGTCCATCCGTAACCCTCCTCCCCACCGTTCACGTCGGTACGATTCGATATTAATTCTGGCTTGCTTGATCTGGTTCGACCCCAGCATTCCTACAATCATTTCACTTCGATGCGGTTCGAGGGCGATCCCGGCTGGCTGGCTCCGATGCGACCCCAGAATTCCAAGGATCCAATTCGGTCCGATGGCTGCAGGGCGATGGTCTGCATCCTGGTGCAGCCGATTCCATTCGGTTCCGATGTGGCCTGATCCGCACATTTCTTACCAGCCTGGAACATATCCCTATCCCTATGCTGGGCACCTCCTCATCACGATGACAATCTTCGGGATTCCCTTATCTTTTGAGGGCGAATCCCTAAGATTGTCATCGCCTTCTGGCGTGTCAATCTTAGGGATAGGGATACGTTCGAGGCTGGTAAGTTTCGGCCCGAACCGACTGCCCGATCCGATGCCGACGGGCCTTGCCCTCCTTCCCTCGCGCGGGGCTGCCCCCCTGACCCCATCCCCCCCCCTTCTGCTGGGCTGTACGTGCGCCCCCCTCCCCGCCCCCCTCCGGCGCGGCCTCTGGCGGCGCCCCTGGGTCGGCGGCGAGCGATGGGGGGGAAGGAGGAGGAGGAAGTGGTGGAGGAGGTGGAGGAGGAGGAGGAGGAGGAGGAGGAGGAGTGAGCAGGAGGAGGAGTGAGCAGGAGGGAGGAAGAGGAGGAGGAGGAGGAGTGAGCAGGAGGAGTGTGCAGGAGGAGTGAGCAGGCGGGCGGAAGAGGAGGAGGAGGAGGAGAAGGAGGAGGAGTGAGCAGGAGGAGTGAGCAGGAGGAGGAGGAGGAGGAGGAGGAGGAGGAGGAGGAGGAGGAGGCACTTCTGGGGTTCCCGACGGCTCCCCGTCCGCAGCCTGCGTCAAGCCACGACGACCTTGCTCGAGGCAGGCGGCCAGCCAGGGCACCGCTGCCCTTCCCGTGCCACCACGGCCAGGAGGCCATCCTCGACAGTCCTGCTCTAGGACACCCCAGGAGAGAGAGAGAGAGAGAGAGAGGGAGAGAGAGTTCCGTGGAGTAGCGGCATGCGTCTCTGTCGTTCCCCCGCAGACGCACCCTGGGATCGGCAGAGGCGCTCACTCGTTTGCATGCCCGCGCGCGCAGCTCGGCGAACCTTCGCGTCCCGCGTCCCGCGTCCCCCCCTCCCGCTGGCCTCCCCGCCGCGAGCCCCCCCGCGCGCGCGCGGCGAGGAGAGACACAGGTGGCACGTCAACAAGCTGGAGCAGGTCCTGAGAGCGCTGGACAACAACGCCCTCGACATGTCGGACCTGGCGGTTCGCGGCGCCCGCGCCCTCCACGAGAGGGCGGGCAGCGGGGGCAGCGGGAGAGGAGGGCGTCGAAGGCCGGAGGGTCCGGGGAGCAGCGGCGTCGACATCCTCTCGCTTCCCAATGCCTGCGCCAGTGTGCTCGACCGACGATTGATTTTTGGCCTCGGAGAGGGGCACCGTGATCCTCAGGGCTGCAACGCCCGCTGGGAGCCGGACCGGACCCTCGAGGGGAGGGGGCGCCGCCCTGGCCGCGCGGGCTCTGGACAGTGGCACCGCACGTGCAGCTCCGACCCCCCGCGGGAGCACTCGTCGGCTGGGTCGGTGCCCTTCTTTTTGTTTGTCTGTGTGTGTGTGTGTGTGCGTGTGCGTGTGCGTGTGCGTGTGCGTGTGCGTGTGCGTGTGCGTGTGCGTGCGCGTGCGCGTGCGCGTGCGCGCGCGCGTGCGCGTGCACGTGCGCGTGCGCGTGCGCGTGCGCGTGCGTGCGTGCGTGCGTGCGTGCGTGTGTGTGTGTGTGTGTGTGTGTTTGTGTGTGTATGTGTATGTGTATGTGTGTGTGTGGGTGGAAGGGCGACGCGCATCGGGGAGCCTCGGCCGCGCGCGGGCTCGGGTGCAACTCCTGGGAGGCCTGATGCAGCATCGGCGCTTGCGTACCCGCGGCCGAACACCGGTCCACGCCGGTCCACACCGAACACCGGATCTCGAGCAGACCCGCTCATGAGCCGGAGCAGTCTTGTCACGAACGAACAACACACACCCATACCCATAGGGAGGTCATTGGGATGAGGACTGCCTATGGGTCTGGGTGCGGGTTGTCGGACCCTGGGGAACGCTCCCGTTCGAGCGGGGACCCCCATCCGACAACACGCACCCATAGCCCTCTCTGATCCCCCCATGGGTATGGGTGTGTGTTGCTGGTTCGTTATCTTGGGCCGAGCCTTCTCATCGGGCTGCCTAGCCCCAGGAGTTGCCCCGGGCGCCTCGCATCGAGGAGCAGGGCTGGACCTATAAACGCTGTTTTGCTGGATTTTGTGGCTGTGTTTTGTTCTCCGTTGCGGCAGGGAGGCGCCGGAACATGGGTAGCGCAAAACGAGCATCAAGACGAATGCAGAACGAAACAAAAACGTTTAGGTCCAGCCTTGTCGAGGAGCCCGCGTCACCCGCGGGGCACGAGAGGAGAGAAGTCGCGACCGCCGCGACAGCCGCGCGGGGGGCGCGGTCGCTCGGAGCGGCGGACCCCTCGGAGTCCTGGCCTCGATCGATAACACTTTGTGCCCCGGCTGGGCGGCCCGCTGCACGGCTCAGGATGAGGAGCTGGTCCCCAGGAAGGGGCCGTACCTTTTGGGGACGGCGTCGCGAGGAAACTGCGTCGTCGGGGGCCTTCGGGGGTTTCGGGACTCTTCGGATGCCCGCGCGGGAAGCAAACTACACGCTCTCGGGCGCCCTCGGGGGGTTCGCGGGACGCCTTGCCGCGGCCGCCGAGGGAGGCAAAGGTGGCGGTGGCGGCGGCGGCAGTGGCGACGGGCGTTTCGGGATCGGGAGGCGTCAGCTGTGTCGATCCCGGCTGGGCCAATGCCGGGCCCAGGATTTGCGTAAATCGGGGGCGGCCAAGTGGGGGATGATGACTAGGAGGGCTGGATATAAGGCGTGGGCCATGATGTTTCCCTGGATTTCCTGGCGTCTCCCCGACATGAAACTCATCATGGGGCTGTGAGCGAGGGAGGTGGGTCCTGGGCCCTGCTGTTGATCCAGGGCCAGTTCGTCCTCCTGGATGGTTTTCTGACGGGCCCGAGGGCCCGCTCGGAGGGCCCCGGGGCCCGACAACGGAGGAACGAACATCCAGGACCCCTCTCCTTCGGGGCCCGTTGTCTCTCGGCCCTCCGTGCCCCCCTCCCCCTCCTCATCCTCCTCGTCCTCCTCCTCCTCGTCCTCTACCTCCTCCTCCTCCTCCTCCTCCTCCTCCTCCTCCTCCTCCTCCTCCTCCCCCTCTCCTCGTCCTCCCTCCTCCTCCTCCTCCTCCTCCTCCTCCTCCTCCTCCTCCTCCTCCTCCTCCCCCTCCCCTCCCCCTCCTCCTCCTCCTCCTCCTCCTCCTCCTCCTCCTCCTCCTCCTCCTCCTCCTCCTCCTCCCCCCCTCCTCCCCCTCCTCCTCCTCCTCCTCCTCCTCCTCCTCCTCCTCCTCCTCCTCCTCCTCCTCCTCCTCCTCCTCCTCCTCTGTCGTCGCGAGGTCATGAGAGATTTCGTGGAGCTGTACGTAGAGAACCACCAGGCCCGGGTGCTCCCGCAGCCGTCGGCCGCGCTTGGTGCTTCGCGGCGTTTTGGCGGCCCGCTCCGAAGGGGGCCGTCGTGGCCCTCGCCGGCTGCCGCGCCGTCCTCGTCGCCCTCGCCGCGGCCGCAGCCGGCGGTCGCCTTCGCCGTCGGGGGGAGGGGGCCGCGGGCGGCGGGCCGCGGCGGTGCTCGGGGGGAGGGGGCAGCGGGAGCGTGGAGCCGGGAGGGCGGGCTTGGGGGGGCGGGGTGGGGCGGGGGGCGGAGCGGAGAGGGATCAGCGGCGGCCTCTGGGGCGGGCGGCGGGGCGCGCTGCGCCGAGAGGACGGGGCGGGGAGGGCAGGGGGTGCTGGGCGGCGCGCGCGAGTGTGGCGGTCTTCTGCGAGGGCAAGGGGCGGGGTCTTTGAGAGAGCAGGTAAAGAGGAGGGAAAGGTACCCATACCGCTACCCTTCCTTCGTTTTCCCCCTTGTTGGGGGCCTCCTGGGAGGCCCTCGTCGCCACAGCTGGATTCGCCTCGAAGTTCTGGTCAGCATGCACCCCGGGAGAGGTCCGGGGAGCAGCGGTATCGGTACTTTGTGTGGAGAACCCCTCCCGGCTTCTGAGATACCTCCCCTTTGAAGCAGCAGGGCGCTGCCAGAAGGCCCCCCGGCCTTCTCCCAGGGAGTCCCGCCGGCCTCTCGACGCCACCGCCTCCCGGCGGGCCACAGGACTGCGCCGCATCGCCGATGCGGCTCGATGCGGAGCGCGGATTTCTCCACGCCGACGTCGTCGGTGCATCGCCGGCGTCGCTTGTGCATCGCCGATGCATTGGCGACGAGGCGCTATCATCCGACCCCATCTACTCGGACCTCATCTGGGAGGCCTCTAGGGCAGTATTTCGTCTCGGGTCGTTTTCGATGGTCGTCCTAATTTCGGGCAGAGGAGTGGACCCCAGAGGCCGAAACGGGTGAATAACCCTGAAAAGGTCTTTAGAACCCACCCCTAATTTTTTCCGCCGGCCTTATTGAAGGACCGGGGTCCCACTACATAAGGGGTACCTAGATTTTGTTTCCGCAGCACCCGCCGCGCACAAAAAGGACGAGGAGGAGGCAGAGGATTCCGAGAGAAAAGGGGGGGAACAATGTTGAAGAATGAAGAGCTCTAGCGTTTAATTAACGCCCGTCTCATTGTTCCTTTGGGAGTTTTTCTTTTCGCCCGCCCAGTGACAGCCAAGAGCAGTGAAAGACGTGACGCGCTGGAGGCCTGGGGAAGGAAGGGAGATGACGGGAGGTGGGCTGTACGCCGATTCTGGTCGGTTTCATTCTGGGCCCATCAAAGAATTATCCTGGCGAAGGTCCCAACCATATGCAGTTGTGGGTACCGTAATTGTGAATATCTGCTTCGTTGAAGCTCCCTATGGGGCCACGAAGCGCTGTACTGGGCGGGGGGGAACGCTGTAATTACTGTGTGGGTGGTGTGCCGAATTGGCTTTCCCGGACGCATGCGGACGGTCCCACTGAGGGCTTCGGTGGAGTTCCCTATGGGGCCACGGAGCGCTCTACTGAGTGAGTGGAAATGCCAAATTGGGTTTCCGGGACGCATGCGGACGGTCCCACTTGGGGGCTTCGGTGGAAACCCCTATGGGGCCACGAAACGCTGCACTGCGCGGGTGAAAATGCCAAATTACTTGTCCCGAACGCATACGGACGGTGGCTCTGGGGCCTCGGGTGGAGCCCCCTATGGGGCCACGAAACGCTGCACTGGGTTGCGAAAATGCCAAATTGGGCTTCCGGGACGCATGCGGACGGGGGCACTGGGGCCTTGGGTTGAGCTCCCTGTGGGGCCACGAAGCGCTGTACTGGGTGTGCGGGACAAATGCGGACGGTAGCGCTGGGACCTTTGGTGGGGCCCCCGATGTACTGGGCGTGCGGGACGCATGCGGACGGTAGCACTGGGACCTTCGGCGGGGCTCTCTATGGGGCCACGAAACGCTGTACTGGGTGGGTGAAACGCAGGGAGGAGGGGGAGGAGGGCCACGAAACGCTGTACTGGGTGTGCGGGACGCATGCGGACGGTAGCACTGGTACCTTCGGTGGAGCTCCCTATGGGGCCACGAAACGTTGTACTGGGTGTGCGGGGCGCATGCGGACCGGACGGTAGCACTGGGACTTCGGTGGGGCTCCCCATGGGGCCACGAAACGCTGTACTGGGTGTGCGGGACGCATGCGGACGGTAGCACTGGGACCTTCGGTGGGCTCCCTATGGGGCCACGAAACGCTGTACTGGGCGTGCGGGACGCATGCGGACGGTAGCACTGGGACCTTCGGCGGGGCTCTCTATGGGGCCACGAAACGCTGTACTGGGTGGGTGAAACGCAGGGAGGAGGGGGAGGAGGGCCACGAAACGCTGTACTGGGTGTGCGGGACGCATGCGGACGGTAGCACTGGTACCTTCGGTGGAGCTCCCTATGGGGCCACGAAACGTTGTACTGGGTGTGCGGGGCGCATGCGGACCGGACGGTAGCACTGGGACTTCGGTGGGGCTCCCCATGGGGCCACGAAACGCTGTACTGGGTGTGCGGGACGCATGCGGACGGTAGCATTTGGACTTGCGGTGGGGCTCCCTATGGGGCCACGAAACGCTGTACTGGGCGTGCGGGACGCATGCGGACGGTAGCACTGGGACCTTCGGTGGGGTTCCCTATGGGGCCACGAAGCGCTGTACTGGGCGTGCGGGACGCATGCGGACGGTAGCACTGGGACCTTCGGTGGGTCTCCCTATGGGGCCACGAAGCGCTGTACTGGGTGTGCGGGACGCATGCGGACGGTAGCACTGGGACTTTCGGTGGGGCTCCCTATGGGGCCACGAAGCGCTGTACTGGGTGGGTGAAACGCAGGGAGGAGGGGGAGGAAGGCTACAAAACGCTGTACTGGGTGTGCGGGACGCATGCGGACGGTAGCACTTTGACTTGCGGTGGGGCTCCCTATGGGGCCACGAAGCGCTGTACTGGGTGTGCGGGACGCATGCTGACGGTAGCACTGGGACTTTCGGTGGGGCTCCCTATGGGGCTACGAAACGCTGTACTGGGTGTGCGGGACGTATGCGGACGGTGGAGGAGGGGAAGAGGAGGAGAGAAGGAGAACGCGGGGACCGTCTCTTCAAAACGAGGACCCAACATCATAGGATGGTTGGGAATAACAGTTTCCGGAGGTCCGCTCGCCCCCCCTTCCCTCGCGCGCGAAGTGAAGCGCGTCAGGGGCGGGGCCGAAGGCGTGGCCAGGGGGGGTTCTAACACTAGTCCCCGAAATTTGGGAGGACCCCCGAACGTGTCCGTGTACAGTGTGGGCGCGCATCAAGAAACCAGGTGCTGTTCGTCAGGGTGGCCCAGGTTTCTTCGCTCCGCGCGTTGCGCGGTGACTTCCCGCAGCCGCTGAAGACGCTGCTGCGTTCAGGGTGCTCCGGGTTTTCCTTCGGGTGCACCTCGCGCGCGGGTTTCCAGAGCTGGGTTGCTCGCGAGGGTTTCTTGGCGGCCGTGCCCGCACTTTGCTTCCTGTGTCTGCTTCTCTCCAGACCGGCGTCGGCCCAGGCCCCTCTCGTTCAGGAGGGGAAAAAACACACAGACACTACTAATCGTCAATTCCCAGGAAAATATGGGAAAATATGGGAAGTGGGGGGGAAGACAAAAACCCAGAAACTATGTAAAAATATGGGGAATATTCTTTTCGTGTGTGTTTATTTGTGTGTCCTGGGGCCCCTTTCTCAGTGTCCGAGCCACGGAAGGGGGACGCAGCGCCGCCGGCCTCCCGCGGGACCCCTGGGTGGGCCCGGCCAGCCTGGGCGGCAGACGCGTATGGAGACGGCGCGCCGCGGTCTGCCCACCCTCCGACAACGCCGACGACGCCGACGACGACGCCGACGACGCCGACGACGCCGACGACGACGCCGACGCCGACGACGACGACGCCGACGACGACGATGACGACGAAGCCGTCGCCGACGACGAGGCCGTCGCCGACGACGATCCCCCCCCCCCTCCGGCCGTCGGCGATGCTCGCTCTCCGACGCCGCCCCGGGGACCTTGTTCCTTTCCTGGGTCTACCGGCGCCTCGTCCTGAGAGCCGCGGTGTGGACGGCCCCCCGGGGGCCGCGAAGCGGCCTCCCGAGGCCGAAGAATCGGGGGAAAAGCGTATGATCCAGGTTCGCTGGAGCTCGGGCTCGCCGACTCTTTGCGGACGGGTGCGCCCTGAGTTTTGAAGGTCCAGTTCTGACGTGGAATGCCTGCAGCGCAGGTCCGCGCCAGACTTCAGATGGGCCGCGCCCTCGCCTTGACGGCCCCGTCGGGCCAACACCGCCGTCCCCTGGGGCCGAGTCTGGCGTCGCCCCGAGAGACCTCGAAAGAGCGGGCCGCCGCGTTTTTGCCTTGCTACTCCGGATCTCAGCGGGGGGGCGGGGGGGGGGGGGCCCGGGCAAGGGACCGTTACCCTGGGGGGGGGGGACGCTCACCAACCCATGGCGCGCCGCGTGGGAGGCACACGCCCCCGGCAGCTTCTGCGGGGCGGCGCCCGCCGTCGTCGTCGTCGTCGCCGTCGTCGTCGTCGTCGTCGTCGTCGTCGTCGTCGTCGTCGTCGTCGTCGTCGTCGTCAGCGGTGGCGGCGGCGGCGGCAGCGGCGACGTCCAGCGCCCGCGGCGGGCGCCGAGCCCGCGCCGCGGCGGCGACCCGCAGGATCCCGACTACCAGCACGACGAGGCGTGGCGCTGCGCCGCTCGTCGCGGCCGACTTTGTTCGGTGGTCCGTCGGTGGTCGGTCGCTGGTGGCTGGTCGTCGTGCTGTACAGTCGGGGCCCTGAAGAAGGAACCCTTGTGGTTGGGGAGGGGCTCCGCGTTCCTTAAGTGCTTCGCAGCTTGCCTCAGGTTTTCATTATGCTTTCGATCGGAAATCGAAGTTTAATTTATGGAAAAAAAGGGCCTCGTTCCTTATTTTGGGTTCCTTAGGTCAAGGCCCCGACTGTACGTCGCAGCGTACGTCGGCCGTCGCGGGCCGTCGTCGTAAGTGAGTGGTATAGGTCGTGCAATATACCGTTCTTCACGCTGTGGTGCACCGTCCGCCCTGACGACGTGCGTTCTAATGCGTCGCTGCTGCCGTCATCGTCCAGGGGAAGCAGGGGAGAGACACGGAGGAGGAAGGAAAACGTTCACGGAACGTCTGTGTTGTAGCCCTGTTTTGTTCGCCATTCGGGCGTCTCTCATGATCTGACCACAGCATCGATATACGCGGCCTTCCTTCATGTCTCTTCACCTGCTGCCGTAGCATAGAACATACGTAAACGGCTTGCACGGCATCGCACAGTCCACTTGGCAGAGCCGTTCCTTTGTGCTGGCTTATGTGTGAGCCACGCAGAAAAAAAAACGGGGTCGTCTGCACGCACAGCGGCGCGTGAGTTGCCCGCGTGAGGTCGTGCGTTAGCGCCCCCGTGTCCCACGTGGAGTGCCGCTCTAGCGGCTCGCGTGAGCCACGGTGTAGGGTCGCCATGCCATCTTACCTGAGACGTCAGGCCCGTTTCTTGGCTTTGCCCATGTGCCCTGGCCTCGTTCGGACGTGTGCATTTTTTCTTCGGCGAGGACCATCGAGGAGCGTCCTTGATCATTTGGCGAAAAAACACGCACGAAACCGATCAAAAAACACAGGGAATGGACGTCCGAGCGATGGCGAGGTGCATGTTGATTTGATTCGCCAACCTCCTCGCCGTCCCCTGCACGCCGGCGTCGCCCGGACCGCGCAGCATCGCGCCGCGCACCTGCCCCGCCCGCGACTCTGCCCGGCGAGGGGCTCTACGACTGCTTCGACCTCGCAGAATACGAGGAAAAGCAGAAGCAGGCCACTCCCGCAGTGCAAGCGCGCTCCCTCGATCTCGCCCCATCCCTCCCCTGCCGTGCTCCTCGCCCTCCTCGCCCTCCTCCTCCCTCCCCCCTCCTCCCCGCCCCGCTGGCCGCCCTTCCCTCGTGGCTGGGCTCAAGGCCTTCATAGGCCCAAGTGGCTGCCCATCGCGGGCGGCACGGGGTGCTAGCAGCATACCGGGTGCTCACGGAATCTCCCAGACCCCGCATTTGTGCAGGGGAGGAGCGAGGTGTTTCGCGCAAGGGTGAAAAAACAGTCCAGCGCTCCGACCATTCTTGCTTATTCCTCCCCAGCCCCCCAGCTTTCCATCCTCTGGCCCTGCTCCTCTTCACTCCTCTTTTTTTTCTCAACCATCCTGTGGTGTGGGTCCTCGTTGTGAAGAAACAGCGCCCCGCGTCTCCTCACTCACTCCTCCTCCGCATCCTCCCTCCTCCCGTCACCCCCCTCGCGTTGGCACACCCCTCACACGTTTCGTGGCCCCATAGGGAGCTCCACCGAAGGCCCCAGTTCCACCATCCACATGCGTCCCCGCACCCATTTTGGCACACCCCTCACACGTTCCGTGGCCCCATAGGGAGCTCCAACGAAGGCCTAGTGGGGGTTCCCGCATGCTGTCCCCACACTCCTGTTGGCACTCCTCTCACACGCTTCGTGGCCCCACAGGGAGCTCCACATAAGGCCCTCGTGGGGGTGCCCGCATGTGGTCTCCACGCCCACTACGGCACACCCCTCACTCGTTTTGTGGCTCCATGGAGAGCTCCACCGAAGGCCCTAGTGGGGGTGCCCGCATGTGCTCCCCACACCCATTTTGGCACACCCCTCACTCGCTTCGTGGCTCCATGGGGAGCTCCACCGAAGGACCTACTGGGGGGGCCTGATGCGGTCCCCACACCGAGCACGGCACACCCCTCACACGTTGCGTGGCCCCATAGGAAGCTGCACCGAAGGCCCTAGTCGGGGTGCCCGCATGCGGTTCCTACACCCATTTTTGTACACCCCTCATACGTTTCGTGGCCCCATCGGAGCTGCACCGAAGGCTCTAGTGGGGGCGCCCGCATGCAGTCCCCACGCCCATTTTGGCACACCCCTCACACGTTTCGTGGCCCCACAGGGAGCTCCACCTAAGGCCTCAGCGCCACCGTCCACATACGTCCCCAACATGTTTCGTGGCCCCATAGGGAGCTCCACCGAAGGCCCCAGTGCCACCTTCCACTTAAGTCCTACGTTCCTCCACACCTATTACGGCACACCCCTCTCACGTTTCGTGGCCCCATAGGGAGCTCTACCGAAGGCTCCGGTGCCAAGGCCCGCATGCATCCCCCACACCCATTTCGGCACACCCCTCACACGTTTCGTGGCCCCATAGGGAGCTCTACCGAAGGCCCCAGTTCCACCGTCCACATGCGTCCGCCGCACCCATTCCGGCACACTCCTCACAGGGTTCGTGGCCCCATACGGAGCGCCACCGAAGAAAATGTTGACAATTGCGGTTCGCACCTCTGCATTTGGTTGGGTCTTTCGCCAGGCTAATGTTTTGCTTGTTTTCTCTCTCTCTCTCTCTCTCTCTCTTTCTCTCCTCCCCTCCTGCTCCGAGTTGCCCGCCTCCGCCCTCCGCCTCTGGCCTTGTGCGCCCCCCGCCCCCCAACCCCCTGCTGCGCCGCACGCCGCCCTCTTCCCGCGCGGCGCCGGACGGGACGAGGGCCCACATGGCTCCACAGAGCTCGGGGGTGGACAGAACCCTGGCCCCGACACGTCGATGTTTTCGGTTCTCCAGAGGGCGTCGCGGCCGTCATCTTCCAGGCTTGCGCCCGCCAGGTTTGGGCCTGGGGTCGTCTTCGCTACCCCGCGTTTTGCGAAAGGGGGCTCCGTCCATCCCCGAAGAGCGCTCCAGGAACGCTCTCGGAGGGCTCCTGGGATCGCTCCTGGACGGCCGCGGCGCCCCTTGCCCAGGAGGGGAAATAGACACACAGGTGCCATTCATCACCGGCTCCCCAGGAAAAGCGAGGGGAACATTTAGGGGAAGTGGGGGAGAGGACGCAGACCCAGGAAAGAAGGGAAAGCATTGGGAATCCTAGGATTTGTGCATACTTCTGTGGGTGCGTGTGTGTCCCTGGGTCCCTTTGGCTGCAACCCCCCACAACCGCCGGCTCTCACAGATGCTCGCCTTGGCCCCCCTCGGAGTGTGTCCGCGTCCTGGCTCGTCCCACGGTTTCCTCTGACGCGTCCCTCCTTGAGGAGGGGAACAAACACACATACACAATTAACCGTCGACTCCCCAGAAAATAGTGGAATATGGGAAGTGAGGGTGGGAAAACCCAGAAGATATGGAAAGCATGGGAATACCTGCGAGTTTAGTTGCACCTGCATCCCCGCAGGACCCGCCAGCTCTCACAGATGCCCGGCTTGGCCCCCTCGGAGTGTGTCCGCGCCCTGGCTTCGTCCCACGGTCTCCTCTGACGCGTCCCTCCTCCATGAGGGGAGCAAAAACACGGACACAAGTCATCGTCGATTCCTAGAACAATTCTCGGAGTGTGTCCACGTCTTGGCCTCGTCCCACGGTGTCCTCTGACGCGTCTCTCCTTCAGGAGGGGAAAACACACAGACACAAATCATCGTCGACTCCCAGAACAATTCTCGGAGTGTGTCCGCGCCCTGGCCTCGTCCCACGGTCTCCTTTGACGTGTTCCTCCTTAAGGAGGGGAAAACCTCACACAGACACACGTAGTCGTCGACTCCCAGGAAAATATTGGAAAATAGCGGAAGTGGTGGGGGGAGGGAGCCGAACATTTTGAAAATATAGGGAATCTCGGGATTTGTGTCGACGTATTTGTGTGGCCCGCGGCCGCGGAGCCAGGGAGGCCTCTCGGCCCGAGGCAGGGGCCGAGGCCTCCCTGCTCGGCCGAGGGCGCTCGAGGGCCTGGGCCTGCTGTTCTGGCCCTCGGCCAATCTCGGATCGAGGTGCTATGCCGCCCCTCTTCGGCCCCCTGTTCTCTGGGTCGCTCTCTCGCGGCGCAGCGGGGAGGACCGCGCTCCGCACATATGCCCGCTCGGGTTGGCGCTGGGGCGGCGCCGCGAGGGCGCTATGGAGAAGCCGATCCTCGTGCCTCGCGGGGCACGGTTCGCGAAGTCGGGGGTGACCCACAGTGCCGTTTTTGATGCATGCTCCGCGTGCGGATCATGTATTAACAATGCAGGGCTCTAGTACTAAAAACAGCGATGCGTTCATGCATACATTGATTCATACATCAATCATGTATCAAGAACCCTGTATTTTGTTCAAAATCCTATGTATTAAAAACTGCCCTGTAGTGCTTGGAGCTGCTCGGGAGGAGCCTCGGGGCATCCCCAGGTCCTCCCGAGGCCTGCAGGCGGGGGACCTCCGGAGGCCGCCCGGAGCGCGGATGGGGGCGGGCTCCGCGAGGCGCGTGCCAACTCGGAGGTTCCTGTGGGGAGGAGTCTCCCTCGCGGGCGATGTCTCTTTTTGCTATCCCTCCCTCTCTCTCCCACTCAGTCTCCGAGGCCCCCGCTGAACACTGGCCGCTCGGAAGCAGAGGGGAGCTCGGGGATACACGGTGGAGACCCATGCCAAGGGAGACACCCTGCTTGCCTCCAGGGTGCCCTGGGTTCCTTGGGTTTCGATGGTTTTGCTCTGGAGAGCGTGACGTTCCCACACCAAGAATAAATGGACGTCCTGGGGTCTCAGGGTTACTCTGGATCGCGTAATAATCGCCCCCCCCTTGGAGTGTCAGGGGGAGTTGGCCGCGGCGCGGGGGGGTCTGAGGTTCGTGCCCTTCCCCGATGGGGCGCGGGGGTGGTCCCGGGGAGTAGCGGTGTCGGTACCTCTTGGTTTCCCCGTCCTCGGGGCGGATGAGCCCAGGGGCAAGAGTCGTTGCATCCAGCCTTGTCTTGTCCGCCCTCGCGCCCTGCATGCGTCCGCCCTCGGTCGAGCGCGGCGACTTTACTGACTCGGTGAAGCCTCCTTGGAACATCCAGATCACCCACGGGGGCGCGACGAGATCCGCGCTCAGCGTATGGCGGTCTGTGCCGGAGAGCCCGTCCTTCAGAAAAACGCGATGTGCGCGGGCGCGAAGCTGTGCGCGCTTGGCGCCGCATGGCACAGGTGGCGCAGCGCAAGGCGCGCAGAGTTTGGTGAGCCCCGGGGGCAGGTCGCTGCGCCCCCTGCAGTCTCGGTCTGCAGTGGGGACGTGTCTTGTCCTTCTGGCGTCTTCGGCCTTCCCTCGACCAGGGGGAGGAGAAGGGGGGGAGGAGGGGGAAGGAGGAGGAGGGTGGAGAAGGAGGAGGAGGAGGGGGGATGA